CACCTAATTAACCATTATTTGGATATAAGGGCACAGCATAATTGAACTTATACTCCTAATTCTAGTGGAGCCACAATATATATATAAACATTTGTTTTTGCAACAGTTTTAGCAATCGATCACATATATGAAATTATCAATATATCTTCTAATAAGTTCATCATTTTAGAATTGGAATTTCTTTATTGCTACATTTCCGCCATATGGCATAGTTCACGCAGTCTTGGAAACATGATTTGTGTTCGTATTAATTGGATAATTAGGTGAACAGTCTAACCATGCAATCATAAAAATTCAATATTTGGGCAATGTTATGGGCTAGATGAATGAATGCTTTAATAAATAAAATTTGAACCTATTGTAGTAAAGGACTAAAAGCAGAGTCCTTTATAGCTTTTAGTATGTAACTAGTAGTATTTTACTATAGAAATACTTATAAAGTGATAGTGTCTTCAAGTTTTACCCTGCCAAATCATCATGTCGCCATCTTTTCTTCTTCATTATTTTACAAGCTATTACATAGATTACTATAGAAGTAGCCCTAGAGCAATTGCCTAATCTAAAGAAAGGGCGTTTGATCGTCTATTCAAATTGTAAATGAATTTGATTTCGTAACAAAACCCTATCCATAGAGAAAGGGGATTTATAACATGACAGTAAAGTACTGTAATGTATTCTATAATCGTACAGTTACCGTACAACCTGATGCTAAAACATCAACTGTCAATACTAAGCGATACTAATGTAAAAAAAGTAGTCGTAGTAGTCATATAAAATTTCTTGATAAGCGATTACTGTGATCTTTATAAAATCCGGATTTTTCGGATTGGGATTTCGGAACCGGTCGGATTTATGTCCGATATAATTTTCCTGTATTAATTTATCTGTTTTAATTTTTCGGTATTAATTTTTGGATTTTAGTTTATGAAAAATATCGTAGGAGTCGATTTTTGAAATTTGAACTTTTTGTTGTGAATTTGAAATTTTGGAACTTTATAACGTGACATGAAAGTCACATTAGGAAAGTTTAGCTAAGAAAACAGAAAATAAGATGGAAATTGGTAGAGGTTGTGTTGATTGTTAAGTAGTTAGACTATTATTTTTACGATTAAATCTTGATGTTTAAAGGTTGATTCTTAGACTTTTATAATGTATTAATGATAGAAATTATGTTAGAAGTGAAGTTTGGTGTATTTTATAGTTAACTTGTTGGTTTATAGTGTTTGTAAGGGAATCATAGGGTAAATTGTGTCTGAACTTTGAATGATTTTTGTTTTCTTAAATGGTGCAAAGTAGTTTTCTAAAACGAATCTAAGAGCGATTGGTTAGTAAATGTTAAGTTTTAAATACCTCTGACGGCTCTACGAAGCCTATAAATGATAGTGCAATTAGAAAATTAGAGGGAGAGTAGAAGAAGATTCTTTTGAAGAATTTGTTGAATTTAAAAGGCCTTCGGGGTCGAATTGTCGTAAGTTAAAAACGTTCTTCTTTTTGAAAGGTTATTTGGTTGTTGACAGTCTTTAAGTCTGTCACCTATTTTATTAATACTTAAAGTTAAGTATTTGTAAGGTTATTCGGTTTATACTTCTCCGATTTTTCGTGATAAATTGTTGTTCGATTATTTCCCCAAATTTTATTTGGTGTCAAAGTTTCGTTAAGTCGACCGGAATGCAACGAAAGTAGAATCAAAGTTTATTATAGTTTTGCAGCTTGATCTCTACACTTTTCATTTCATTACACTATGTTGAGGGTCATAGACTTTTATTTCGAAATTGTCTAATAAAGCTGCAAATAATATCACCAAGAAGAAGACTAAGTCTATAATTTGATTGAATTTCATCATAAATTTAATTAATTTTTGTTTGCACATTTGCAGTATGTACGTATATAATCAAGTGCATTTGCAGTGATATATAGTTTTAATAATTTTAGTTAAGTAAATGCATCTGCTACTTTATCAAAAGTTTATGTTTGATATTCTGTTGGGTAGATTATGGAAAATACCAAGGCAATAAGATCTAATTCATTTAATTTTATCTTGCTAGATAGCATTAGAGAGTTCATTTAATAAAATTGTATTACAGATTATAGTATTGTATATAGTGTTTGCGAGTCTTTAGAAGATAGTACTTGGGCGTTATAGTAGCAGTACTATATCCTTACAAGATCTTGTCACAGATTAGGATATTAAACTATAGAAACAACTCAAAGTAACTACGACATGTTAGACCCAGTAAGTTTGTCAGGAAGTGGTCTTCGACAGGACCAAACGGCCCGAATATTTATTTTATAGATTTATATCGATAACTAAGGACTATGAGATAGCGAATAATTACAATATAATGTATATTACTTTATACATATAAAATACGAATATCTATTAAGTATGCCGGGGAAGAGTTAAAATACTGTATATTTCAATTTTCAGGCTAATTCTATGAAAGCCCATCTAGAACGTTACACGTATATAAAATTACCATTCGCTTATTTACGCAGTCCTGTATCATAGAAATTATAAAAAATAGCAGATAATAGGTATAATTTACGTAACAAACTATTATAATACTCTTTACTAGATCATAACCCGTCAATATCTGATATAAACAATTTAACAAATTGTCAATACGTATTGGCTGTTAATGCTTTAATTAATGCTTTAATAGCAAATATTGTATATCAAACGTCATCATTTTATTGTAATTGATGTAATATAAATCAGACTATAGTTGCTGTTTATTATTCACTTTTAGCTAATCTTGTCCTAGGAATGATTCCTTAAATGGCATACTTATTTCATTGCTAGGTATATAATTTGTTAAATTATTTATCAATTATATCAATAGTAACTTGCTAACAGGAATAAATCCCGCTGGTCATTATTAACTTATTTGAGAATTTTGTTTTAATCTAGTGCGTTAATTTGGTATATTCTATCGTGATAGGAGTCTTTATTTTGGCTAAATTGCCTGGCTCTATTACTAACCAGACGAAGAATGCTATTTTATCATAGAAATGGACCATTGTAGTGCTCGTTGCTGTAGGTTTATAAAGGAATCTTAGCGTATTTATGCTTTTTTCTCAAATCTTTATTCATTCCTTCATTACATCATGTATTATAATTTCTCAATTACTAACTCTGTTAGGATTACAGTAGATGAATTCACAAAGGTACCGTCATTTAAGAACCTGTACATCATTTATGCTTAGATATATAAAGACTACGATATTTCATAGGTTAATTCTTCTTAAGAAATAGATACTAATTAAAAAATACGATTTCTTATACAACCGCGAATTTTCTAACATTAACGATGTAAACCCAAGCGATAAAATCTTTAAGCTGATGTAAGTTATATTTAGTCATAGTTTACAATCTTCAACAATCGACTTTTAAAATGAGCAAAGTTTCACAGTGCATCGTTTTCCGATATGAAAATCTCAAGCAATAATAACTAAATGACAAACACGAGAGATAGAGGGGCTAATTATCCCATTCCCTAATCAATTTCTATTATATATGAGAAAATTTTTAAATCAGCTCGATAAGATTTTACCGTTTATTAAATATTAAATCTACTTTGATGCAAACAAGAAAAAGGTTATTAATTTCACTAGCTATTTCTCATACATAATAAAGTTAAAATTTTAATTTTCAAGTTTAAATAAAAAGTTTGCCTATTAAATAAATGGAGCCTTCTTGTTACTATTAATAAACATATCATAATCATTAAATATAGATTACCTTATTATGCCTCGTGCTCTAAAATATTCAGTTTATTTCTTGATTTTTACAGCCTCTGTTATACTTATTTTCATGAAGCTACGATTCTGACTTTCATAAATTCTTTAGTCTGCACTGAGTTTTATATTCATATAAAATTGAATGCTACTAGTAATAATTAAGCAATCAAGTTTGGATAGTAAAGTGGCATAGCCTTCCAATTGACAAGAAAATAGCTTATATATTCACGATCGTACAATTTCTAAGCTAATGATTCGACTTTTATTTAATAACTAGTATACCTGAACACAAATAAAGACCCCTGATAAAATCAATATTCTGATATTCTATGATCCTATGTTACTAAATAGCCTTATAAATTCATGATGAACTTTAAAAACTATCTTGGTTAGAAACTTAGAATACCTTAGTACAGTATTATATTCGGAGCTGAAAACTACTTTTATCAAAATCAAATCTGCACTTAAGGATTTTTATTTATCATTCGTTTCATATGATGCTAAGAATTTTCATTCGATAGCTTATACAAAATTTTGTAACTGTCGCAGGAGAGATTCAGTATTAGATCCATCTGATTACTGTACTGTTTTTAAGGAATGTTTCTGCGTTGATCGCTAACTCCACCCAGATTTAAGTACGCTTCAGATTGCTTTTACTGTAGATTTATCGGAATTATTTTTAGACTGTTCTTTACATAATTTCCAGGATATATTCGCTCGTCTTTTCGTAATATACCGTATTCTATCGCATTATCTAACTTCTAACTTCTTATGAGATTACTAAGTTCAGTATGCTTTAGCCGCGAATATCATGGTAGTTTCTCGTTCATGCAGGACCATGATTTGATACGCCTAAAATAAATCATTAATAATAATGGTATTCTTCTATTACAGAATGATGTCAATTTTTGTGAATATATATAATGAACAATTCTAAGCCTGATACTGCATGGTTGATTAATGTTGCCCACGCAGCCGCTGTACCACTTTCTATTCTTGGTTTATTGGCTAATATTTACATGTTCTATATCTTATTAAGCGATAAAATATTTTTTAAGACGAGTTACTATTTAGTTCGAGTGTGCGTCATTTCTGATATTATTTCTAACGTTACGTCGGTAATTAGTTATTCTATATCAATTACTGGCAATATTAGTTTTAATTTGGGTAATATGTTATGTAAGATGTCAGTTTTTACTATTTTATTTTCCTATGGTATTAGTATTTTAACCATAAGTTTGGTAAGTGCAGATCGATATATGGCTATTATGAGACCACTCTCTCAATTCTATCGTGTTCATAAGATCAGAGTGTTGGTCTTAGCTGAAATGATAATTTGTTGCGTAGCAATATTAGTAGCAATACCATCCCTTTTTATTGCTACTGTCTACCCTAGCGATGTTAAATTGTGTGATATTCCATCAGTAACCCAATTAGTAGCATTTTACTTTGTAACTGCTGCTGTGGTCTTTTATTTTATTCCTGGAATTGTTTTGATAGTTTGTTATAGCAGAATAATTATTTACATGCGAGGCCATGTACAACCTGGTGAATCATTCCGGGAGCAGTTGCAGCAACTACGATTACAAAAGAAAAAATACACCAAAGCATTTATTACTATTGCAAGTGTAAGCTCGCTAGTAACTTGGCCATTTTGGGTCTCAAGCATTGCTTTAGCGATATCTCAAAAATCTTTACTAGATGTTAAGAAAACTAGTGATATATTATATGCATTGATATTTGTATCATTTGCTACAACAACGGCCATTAGTGTAGTTAATCCATTGCTATATTTAAGATTTGATGGCAACATAAGAGAGAAGTCCGGAGCTATTCTTCGAAAGTTTAGATCGCTTTGAACTTGGCGTTATTTCTTACCCGCAAAGATTGAACTGGACATACAAGTGACACAGGGTCACTGTAGAGAATTCAATTTAATATCTGTATCTCATACTTGAAATTAACTGATGCTTTCATATCGTTAAACTTGTTAGTTTCAGAGATTATATGTTAATAAAACAAAATTAAGTCAAGCAATTAAGATAAGATTATGGTTATGTACTGTTACTTTGTCAACATACGAGTATAGAGATAAATCATAGAGTTTTATATTATACGTATAATTTTACATTCGTAAGAACCGATTAACTGTAAACAAATAAAATTTAGTCAGACCAACAATTTAATGGAAATCGAATCCTCAATACTAGCTGACATTTGCATATAACCTAAACGATAATTGAAGTTGAGGTACTTGCAGCAAATGTAAATCTACTTTATAGGTATAATAGCTATAGAAGAGTATCTTCAAGATTTCAAACTTCGTTCCTTATGATCGTAAGATGTCAGTAAAACTTGCAAGACGTTATCGATATTAACACTAAATGTCCTAGATTGTCATTCAAAACATGATTCGATACTAAGCATACCACTTAAGAAATTTGATGCTGATAAATTTACACCATCACGAATACATTATTAAACATTTATTGAAAATTCATTTCTTCAAACATTATTTCTGCAAATGAAAAGTTAAACCTTAAAACTAGATGGATAACATATTTACAAAATACATTTTTTAAAGATATTGGATGTTATCAAGTCAATACGGTTAATATTACAAGGCGCTAGTACAGAATACAAGTATGTATACTAAAATTTCAAATGCGTATATGAGTAAAATAAATTAGCTACAGTATAATTCATGTTGTAAGGGTATTTACGATGACAATTACTGTATTGTGTTATATAGTAACTGGCGGTCAATGAATGCTGTTTTCATCCAGTTACTAATTTTTAAACATTTGAAACATCGCATTATAACCGTTACTATATTTGTAATAGTTATTACTGTTACTAGTCTTATATTATTCTAATTTTTATGTCACTATTATTATATACAGTACAATATCCATCCATCCATATAAGTACGTAGCATTAGATTTAAGCTCTATTTTCATCTTAAATAATGACGGTGTCTTTCCGTTATAAAAATTGTACTTGACACACAATGGTTTCCTGGTCAAGAACTAGTTTTTTCATGTATATCTGCTGCAGCTACCTATACTAGTCGTTGCTAATCCCAACTTAAATCTCCTTTGCGAAGATTATTTTGAAGCACTTTCATATCTCGCAATAATTGCAAGCTATCAAATTGCTTGCTACTTCCATGGATTTTACCCTCCATAGGATTCTTAGTACGCATCGTTGTAACGACCTCAACGTCATCATTATTGTCTTTTCGATTGCCAATCTTACGTGTCATATTCTTCTTGATATTCTTTTTCTTCTCTTTACGGCTAGCGTAATGGCGCTTCAGGATTGCAATTTGTTCACCTTTATTTTCCATTTCAATCACGAGTTCTTCTAGCTCCTTTTCTAAATCTCTTCTAATGCGACCGTCTCCAGCGTCCTGAATATGCCTTACTAGTTCTTGATGTTCACTGTGAATATAGTGACAAAAAATTCATTTACAACCCTAAATTTATTTATAATGTTGAATGCTTATATACTTACAAGCTCATTCGCCCAAATTCATCCTCTAGTCCATGCAGCAGCTCGTTCAGTTCTACATCGCTGCTAGAGGACTCTGACGAAGAATCAGAAGTAGTTTTTCGATTTTGATCAACACGAGAGCTTGGATGATACGCCTTAATAAGAGCTAGTACTTTCTGATAATTCACTCCCAATGAATGTGAAGACGCCGAACTCTAAATAAAAAAATGTATTCTTATATACTAGTTGTTACATTGTCGTGATTTCTGTAGCTCCTACATATATGGCTACTGAAAGGTGCGCATATAACAGACTTATCAGTAAGTAACCTTTCCGACAACAAAAGGAGCCTTGTATGAAACCTGCTTCGTTGGATCATTAACGTTTTGTCTTGTTTTCTTTTTGTAGGCCTTTCTATTGGCAATTTTTTTGCGCACTACCGGTGCAGTGTTACTTTGTAATAGTATTCTATTAGTTTCCAGTAAGGTTTGCAACTAAAAAAGTATTAACGAGCATTCCTGATTCAATCGCTAGACTTACAAAACACCTGAAGAGAATTTATATATTATTGCTGTAGGTAGAAATTGCATATTTTGTTAAATTTATAACCTCGGCTGCTTTCTCTTGGATTAATTTCTTACTGTGCTGCTCTTCTTTTAATTGATTTTCTAGTTCTTGAATTCGACTCTGTAGACAAATTAATCGAAGATTTATATACCCGTGAATTTTATAAGTTTATCGATTAAGAATAAAATTATAGAATAATACAATGCAAGCTGGCAATAACCTCAGCTAAGGCATAAGACGCTTTTAGCTGAATATGTTCTCGCTCCAGCTTTTTAAGGTCGTCAAATTGTAACAGCATTTCCCGTGAAACTTGACTAGAATTCCTTTTCTCTAGTTCTAGAGTTCTTTGTAGCGCACTACTTCTATCATTCTCTGCTTGCGTCACTAATTTTCTCATTTGTGCCAGTTGAGATTCTAACAAGCTACATCTTCCCTCTGTTGCAGCAAGCTGAGCTTCTAATTCTAGATTGAATCATACCAGAACAGAATTTTTGAGAAATTAAATATTAATTTATGCAGATAATACTTTATCACGATAACAAAATGATGCAAGAAACCCTTGTTTAGGTCTTTGAATTGACCTTGATTATGTTTAGTAGCAGCGTTACGATTATCATGGACAGCGCTTTGTTCTTTTTGTAAGATCTCTTTATAATGGGCAGTTTCCGTTGTTAAAGTTTTGAGATTTTCCTCAGCTAAGCATCGTTCGATTTCCAATTTTTTAATTTTTTCTTGTAATCCTTGTAGTGCTGAGATCACAGCTATTACAGACATTAGCAAACAAATAAATATTTCATAACTAAAATTATAATCAAAGAAGCTGTAGTAATCTAGAATTCATTATTATATGCTTATTGTGTCATCTTTACCTCCACCGTTACTTTTCGGAAAAGCATAAAGACTTGTGTTGGTTGCATGTTGACCAGGCGACAAACCTAAATTTCCAGTAGAATTATGGCTAATAATTTGTTCTCGACTTGGAGTGCCATTGGATGAGATTTCTTTATGGGCAAAATTGGTGGTAGCGTTAAAATTTCGCTGGTGATTCTCCATTCTTGACCTACAGCAAGACAAAATGAATGCATATTTATCCTTTCAAACCCGAACACTTCATACTGTGTAAACCTAATCGTATTTTTAATGACCTTGCAAATGCAACATCATCAGTAACATTTGCACATTCTGTCCATGGACATACGACGTATACGTATAACTGAGATTAATCTGACATTACATCTTACACCAAATGACCATAGCATGTGTCCTGTAAGCTTGGAAGTGATACAGTGTATTTTTATTGTTAATCAGTGGCACAGTTACAACTGGCATGTTCGTATATATTTATTTATACCCGAGAGAAAATGTGCAACGAATACTCTTCGTATCGTTTCTTGTATCGAGTACTTGTTCCACTTGATACTGAAATACTGTACTGAATGAAATCCGGGGCAAAGAGTAACCGCGATTGCATACCAGAGGGCACCGTAGCTGTATTCTAAAGTAACTTAGCCCATGTCAGCAGGCATAGAACGTCATTACGAGATTTGAATGAAATCCTAAATGTATTCTACCAATTCATCAAACATGAGATTAACTATTCATCTAATTTAGCTCGAAGTCTCAAGCTAAGAAATAACGATACCGTACTGTACGAGTACCGTATCAAAGATTCAAAGTCACTGGTATGTTTATTTAAATAAGCGATGTTGTAGTGTGATGGACAACGATGAAATAGAACACCAGATTGTTCTACAGCAAATACTATCATTCATAACTATTGCATCGCGTATTGACAGTTGAAATCGTTCAATCTAATTGGACCGATAGCATAGTTAATACATACTGCAGCGACCTCAATTTGGCATCTAAGGCACGTCATCATTGAGTACTAGCTAAATTGAGCGATTTCAAGAATTGAAGAAATGCTTATCATTCTTTTCTTGATTCTTACTATTGCACTTCTTATTGTCAATTACTGTATATTAGCATTGCAGTCCAATATATAAATGTGCTAGCACGTATATTAATATCAGCATGAATCAAATCAGAGCCAAAGTATATTTTGACTTTACCTTGCTTAATTTCAATGGCAAATTATTGGTGTAGGGGCTATCCTGTCTGCACTCTCTTTACTTTTGACTGACAATATGTTCAATTGAACTAATCAATAACCATGCATACCAATCGGTTAACGTAAAGTCAATCCTACGACGATAAAATTACCCTTTGATACCAACATAGCCCATATAAATTCGAAATGAACTTGAGCACAGATCGGAGAACAGTGTCACTGGCGATGGGCGTCCAAATACTAAATCTGATTTCAGTAACCGAGCAACCAACGACGGCTGACGATGTCAGCAACTAGGTCAGTACAGTACAGTATACAGTACAGTGCAATAACCCCGATACACCTGTCCACGATATGCAGGGGGGCGCTGCATTGTTTACAGTACATCCAACCTCGTTACGTTACTTATTGTACAGTGTACAGTACACGGTACACTGTTCGCTGTACTGTACAGTACGTTGTATGCAGTTGTCCGTTTTTATTGTACTGTATGTACAGAAGAAAGGAACTGGATACGAAACGGTCCAGTCCGGTACGCTCAGACTCTATCGTAGTACAGTACTGTACGTACAGTTAGAACGGAAAGGACTGTGCTGTACTATGCCGTATGTCTGTCCGTACACAGTAAAATTATTTTTATTTTTGCGCGCGCTAAACGCTAAAAGCAGCTGGTAAACTCAGGAATACAGTACTGTAGACTGCCTGTATTAGTTTTTTCTACTGTAATGTACATACAGTACAGTACCTTTACCTTAGGCGCTATCCTGACTACTGCACGTTAAAAGTATCTACAGTACTGTAAAATCCCAATTCTACGGTACATCATTCAAAATTGAGTTGATTTGGCTCCAAAAATGGTCGTCAGAAAAATGTTGTTGCACTACGGTTGGCCACTGCTTTACAGTATACTGTACTAGTACGGTACAGACAGTCCACTGTAAAAAATGGTCATTTTTTAGTAGTGTACAGTACTGTAGTACTGTACTGTACTGTACACTGTACAGTACACTAGTGCAACATTTACTGTACAGTATCGTTCAGTACTGCCTACTGTACTGTACGACAGTATACAGTACAGTACTGTAAATTAATTAACTTAATTAATGCACGCACGCGTATATGTAAATTAATTAACCTAATTAATGTACGCACGCGTATATGTCAATAAATATTGCATATTGCTGGTTGTAGCGCTGGAAGATGCTTGATTGCTAGTTGTAGTACTGGAAAATGCTGGATTGTCATAGTAAAGCTAAAGAACTTCAGATTGATCAAAAGTATTCTCAGTGTCTGATGCAACCTAATCATAATAATATTACTTTATTCATCTGACTGAATCATATTTACTAACTAGTTATAGCAAATCTTTCTAATCTATGTAAATTTTATTTTAATATGACAGCAGAATGAATGTACAATAATGCATAATATACTCGTGTACTGGAATGAATTAGCCAACATTGCTATGAAGTGGTTGTCACAGATTCGTGCGCGAAAGTTACTCAATAAACTACTATCACAAAGTCTCCTTTTGCCAACATTAAAACTCCTTAATAAACTTCTATAGTATTATCCTAATGTAGACCAACTATTACTCTTAGGATTCCAACAATACAAAAAGTCTTTAAGGTAGAAAGTTAGTTTATTGTTGAATCCCTAGCTAAGCTTCCGGCTACTAGGCTTTTTTCAACTCCTCCTAGTAATCTTGAGCTCGCCCCTTCATATACTTTTTGGGGTCGACTGCTGGTGCTTTGTAGCGAAATAAGCTCTCATTATCTTACAACGATTGCTATAAGGATTTACCTCATAGACAACAACAGGGCTCAGTATAAGCAAATCAGTAAACAACATTAATTAGATAAACCAATTAGGTACCAATTGGAGTCCTGAGGCTCGATACGATATTAACACTTTCTGCATAGGTGCAAGTAATTACCATCAAATTACTTAATACAAAGCTATATACATTAATAGCTAAATTTTAAAATGCACCTCTAAAATTTAACCTTCTAACTTACTAAGACATAATGGGCATCAAACTACTGGTATCGATCGCCTTCATAGCTTTGTCGATTGCTTTTCGGCTACAAAATGCCCACTGTGCAAAAGTTGCAGTAATACCAGCTTTTGAGAAAAGACATGTTCTTGTATTAAACACCTTTGCAGAAGCTTTACATGATCGTGGTCATGATGTAAGAATAAACATGATTAATTTAATTTATTAATATCATTAATATCCTATCTCATTAAAAATGAATGTTTGTGTGGAATAAATAATGCTAACAATTTAAAGTGTGATATTACTTATAAAATTGTGTAGTGGAGAATTTTGGCAGTTATTAGGTAGCTCAACACTAATACCATATGAAATGGGGTAATATTCTATTTAGATTGACCTCGTTCTAGCTTTCAAGTAGTGCAGTGAACTGTATGTTGCGTCAAAAATAATTTATCAAATCATATTAATGCGATAAAATAATCACTATCAGTGATGAATATCAAGTAAATGTAGCATGTATACTTAACCATGAATGGTATTACTGAACATAGAATAATTACTCGTATATGCATCGAATTAATAATTAATAACTGATAGAATTATTTATATTACATACCTTATTACTAGCACTTTTGAAAATATAGTTACACTTTAACTTTACAGTGAAGTCCATTTGATAACGTTGAGTGAAAGTATCTTGCACTATGTTGAATGACTAACCAGTAATCTTGGTTTATTAATATTTCCGAATATTACTTAGATACAACTCTTTCTTAGAATTGTAGGTACGAATCACTGTTGAAAAAACGCAAATCGTCTCAGAATTAAAAATTCCTATTGATTCGTATGATGTTGAACACCCTTTCAAATTTGGACAAGTCCACGATAATATTTCTATGATCGCTAACTTAATAAAATTGGTAAAATTACAAAAGAATTACTGTCAAAGTATCTTGAATAATTCAACTATAATGTCGTATTACAAGATAATCGACTTGTTAATTACTGATCGAGGATTTATTTGAGGTAATTTAATTGCACTTACAATAGAAAAACCTCATATCATATTAGGGATTGGAGCCTTGAACGTACCTCGTCTATTACTTAACAATCCTCAACCTTTATCATATGTTCCGATTCTCTTGACTTCTTACTCATCTATGATGACATTTAAGGAACGATTTATAAATGCGATAGCTTATGCTATGTTAAATAAGTTTTACTCGTATGCGTTAGATCAAAATATCGGCTCGTTAAAACATAAATTCGATAATACTGCATCGATGACGACATATGAAATTGAGAACTCTGCGTCAATGGTATTGATGACTGGTGATTTTGTTCTGGAATATCCTCGACCTCTACTACCTAACGTTAAAGTTATTGATACTTTCTCAGCGAAACCCGCAAAGCCATTGTCAAGCGATTTAGAGGTATTCATGAATGGTGAACGCAAAGTAGTTTATATTTCATTCGGTTCAATTTATGAAAACTTTGATGCGGAAAAAATAAAAGTCTTCATAGATGCTGTAAATCGAATACCGTATAAAGTGATGTGGAAAAGCAAAGCTAGTGTCAAGGATGTTGGGTCACATGTTAAAATTGTCAACTGGGCACCTCAAAATGATATCTTGGGTCATAAGAATACTATTGCTTTCTTTCGCATTGTGGCCATAGCAGTATGTACAAATCGGCTTATTATTGTGTGTCTATTCTAGGAATGCCTATTTCAGCTGATCAGATCGATAACGCGAAACAAGTAGTGCGTGCTGGGCTTGGCATTGAGATAAATATTCGGAAACTGACTTCAAATGATATCGACAACGGGATTGCGCGAGTTACAACCGATAGGTCAGTAAATTGTTGGTTAAGCAGAAGTAGCCCTATGAAATGGCTTAGTCGTTATAACTCCCCTCCCGTATTTTTCTTGCTCGTGATATTGATATTAGGAGTAATTTATTATTTACCGAAAGGTACAATTACATTACCTGATACTAAAAATAGAAAAGTTATTATATCATTTATGTTATTACTTTATGACATTTGCAGTTAATCATAAAAACTACTAACTGTAAGTATAAAATGATGTAATTTAGGTATCAAGAAAATGCGAAATACATTTCCACTGCCATACATAGTCAGCGAAGATCTCCTCAGGATACAGCAGTTGGTTGGGCAGAATACATTATTGCAAATAAGGGAGCTAAGCATCTTAGGATGGAGGGCTACAAGCTATCTATTGTTGAATTTTATATGCTAGACGTAGCGCTAGCATGGATAATAATAATTATGACGGTCATCTATCTGATTAAACGGTTCACTCAGTTTATATATTTTAGGTGCTGTAAGGTTAAAACAGATTAGAAGCAATTCTTTAACTAAACTCTGGCAAGAAAATTATACAATTACATAAGATATGTATTTGCTTTAATTTGGGAATTACTTTAATTGCTATATATTCTTGGCAGAATTAGTTGTAACTGATGCACGTGTATATATATATATACATTGTAGGAAACACTCAAAAATGGGAAGCTGAATACTCCATGTTTACTTAATGTACACTATTGTATCTACATCCTTACATGGACTTGTATACGTAATAGTAAAAGACATTATACAAATGTATAAAATGAATAATTATCCGCTAATGAGGTAATGTTGCGTGTTTTCTAAAGCCACCGGTAATTGTAATGTATTTTGCAAAGGCTGAATAAATTTTCTATTTTTGAATATATACGTATATACTGTACTCTAACACTTGTTACGGCCAATCTCCGGCGTTAGAGCATGCCCAAAATAATGTTTCAATTTTGTAAATTCATCATACTTATTAATTAAATATCATATGCAGTGACAGAAGATGAATTCAACTTTAATGATGTACGATTAATATATGATAATATACGAGTAAATGAAAGTAATAATTTTGTAAGATTTAAAGATGAATTCAGAGTTTGTCCGTATTTGCTGCATCTTTCTACGATCGTTTAAATCAGTTTCACCTTACGGATCGATCTCCCTTTTCATCTCCATAGGCGTTTAAGAACTGATTTGATCTCTTAATATAAATAAACCAATTAGGTTGGAAATGGGATTAAGTTTGTTAATATCAACTAGCCCAGATCTCTTACTTGTAATCCTCACGTACTGTACTAGTACCTTTTACAATATATTTAATATATGAGTATACATATCTACAGTCACTTTTTATAATAGGTACTAGTCGATCTCTTGCTCGTTATACTTCACATACAATACTTGTCGTTTTATTAGTTAATGCTATCACCGTGACCACTATACTGAAAAGCACACATACAGTATGTCGTGTTCTGCGTCGGAATCACAAATTATTTTAATATTATAATAAATTTAATTTTAACGTTGAAATAAAAGAGGAATATGGGATGATGTTGTAGTGTAGTAAGTTTACAGGATCAAAATCAATACTACAGCATAGTATACAGCAATATATCGTAGTGAAGCAAAGTTTATAAAGCTGGCAACAATGCATTAATACAAGTTGCAACGCAGCCAGCCATATTTCACTATACCATCGACCACTATAAAAGTTAGGAGAATTTTCAGAATTGGTCAATGATTCTGATACCGTAGTTGCTGCAGAAATATTGAGTAATAGTCAATGTACGTCTGGGTAGAACTTTGCAAATGCTATTTGAGTAATTTATTTCAGTTTCATGCACATTTCTGTAGGAACTATCAGAAGCATTGACAATGCTGAAAATTATCCTCAAAACTAACAGGTATCTTTACAAATCAGTATGACTTTATCCAGCGCGATGGGCAGCACCAGTAGCGATCTTGAACCCTAAGCAACAGTCACTTTCCTACAGTACAATGCTGTACCGTACGTAGACGGTACTGTACAGGGTTAGGGTGTACTGTACTGTACAGTACTGTACACTGTACAGTATAGTACAGTACAGTACAGTACTGTAGTGTACCGTACAGTGGATAGTACAGTACTATACGTAAGGCACAACTTTGAACTGTAGTTCTACAGCAGTCGTGCCGTGGTCAATTGGCAGGATTTCCTTCCATCTTTAATGAATTAGATGAGCTTGGATTACTTTTCCTACTTAGAAATTCAGAAGAAGCGAAAATTTTCAAGTAAATTAATTACTGGATCTTTTGGTATTTTAGTTGATGTTATAATAGACAAATTATGTGCTGCATTACAGTAGTTGATGCATAATTATTATAAATTACTATTATCACAGTTCGATAAAAGCATCACTGCCATAAACAGCAATGTATCGGATCTGCCATCAATGGAAAGGCGTCCTGCAACGTCGTTATTTAAGGTAAATCTAATTTTGTTCGAGTCAACTTGGATCATAATGTTATCTTTGAAGCACTCTTGAAGTATTACTATGCTGTATAAATTAGACTTTCAGTGCTGCTTGTGTTGTTGATGTCAAGCAATCTTGCTTCACGAGTAACGTCAAGCAGAACCATAATTGAGTCAATATACGTCATAAATACACAATATTAAGACTTGCCAACTTTACCGGAGGACATGCATCGACTGCAACGTACTCTCAAAATTTCACACTTTAGGTTTAATGACGGACTACTTGCTAATAGCATCTTTTGCAAACTAGAGTTGGGTATTTTTACAAGGTTGCCTCGTGCGTTACCTCAGCCCAATCTCAAATCTCATTTGTCATCTATTTCAACCCCTGTATATTGCATCATCTTTTGCTTTGCTATTGCCGTAATGTCAGTGGTTACCAGCATTAGGATATACTGTAGCCAGCATGCTGCATATTCAGCGTGTACGAGTATAGGTAACATTGTGTGGCATGCATATAGTTATGGATGCCAAATTAAATACACCGCAATTGCTTGATGATATGTATTCTGTATCATACGCGCATATTTATGTAGCAGGCATTCATGTCCAGCGCTTTCTTGCCTGGTAAACATTTCTACTGTACATGCAATGATCTATAATATTAGGTTTTATTTCACGCTCGACATTGACTCTTCGCTGTCGAGCATGAAGGAAATATCATATACGTTTGTTAGGTAACTTTAAGTACAAGTATGTATTATCGTAAAGAATCCTTTTGATGATAATTATAACTAGCAGATACCCGCATATGATAATTATAATTGATAGCAAAGTTAACTAACAAGCCCTATCAGAATTATCATCATTATTGTCTTTTAATTTTAAACATAACTGAGAAGGGAGATTGCATAAACCAATATTGAGCCTACATACTTGCATCGATTTCGATTTATAGGACAACGCCATCAGTCAGAACTTTAGACCCACGAGCCGCAGCAGGTATATAGATTAATTATTCTTATTTCTAACCTGAACATATTATCAATAGGAAATATATATATGTATTACTGATTTTCGAGTAATAAACTGAATTAACTTCTTTCTCTAATATTGACTTAGCTGCTTATCGTGAAGGAGATACATTGCATGGATTTACTGTTCAAAAAGTATGTCATGGACTGTGATAGATGCACATTTATTCAATTACAACTTGTAGATAAGCTAATGTATTTGTGAGATTATTGCATACACAGTTGATTGGTTAATGAGTATTAATTGCATACAAAGTTTGATTTAATAATAATTAATATAAATAATTTGATACTATTTCCAACCTAATATTAAGTTTGTAATATTTACAGATTGTCGATGTGGAAGATTTAAATCTAACAACCATACAATTAGTTCATGATAAAACGAAAGCTCGATATATACATGTAGCTCGTAAAGATACTAATAATGTGTTCAGGTAAATTACCTGTCTTGCTGTTGTATACAGTACTTATCATATCTGTAAATAAATAACTTTTCTACGATAATATTGTACCTACATGTATCTTATGTAACGAAATAATTAGTGAATATTACGTTAACTAAGGCAATAATGTCTCGGATACAATTAGTGTAGCCTTTCGAACTACACCGATGGATCATACCGGCGTACCGCACATACTGGAACATACGGTATTGTGTGGCTCTGAAAAGTTTCCGTGTCGTGATCCTTTCTTTAAGATGCTAAATAGGTCTTTGTCGACATTTATGAACGCGTGGACAGGTAATTCTATTATAGATGTGATAGCATAATAAATTTTTTGCAAGAAGATGCCTATTTTGACATCTGCAATGTTTAATTTAGTTCAGATTGCATCAATTTTTATCTGTACGCTTTATTTTAATTGATGGTATATGTAGCCAGCGATTACACCATGTACCCATTTTCGACTCAAAATTCCAAGGACTTTCAAAATTTATTATCGGTTTACCTTGATGCCTCCTTCTTTCCGCGCCTAAGGAAATACGACTTTATGTATGTATAATAATTAAAAATTAATCGTTTCTATACCGGTGTTTGATAAACATCTATCACATATAGATAGAAATTGATTGAAATTTACGTCAATCAAGATTTTTTTGAGTGAGGTTAATTAAGTAATAAATTGATTATAGGCAAGAAGGATGGCGCTTAGAGCACGAAGATGTGATGAATCCGAAATCACCTATTGTCTTCAAGGGAGTCGTTTTTAACGAGATGAAAGGAGCTCTGGTACAGTACGATTAAAAACTGAAGTTAGACCTTAACTTAACTTTAATTTTAATGCGTTCCTGCCGGTTATCTACGTTGTTGTAGCAAAATCAAGATTACCTGTTTTCGGTTCAACTGCAACGTAGCTTGCTCCCTGATCATACATACTCATATGTCAGTGGAGGAGATCCTAATCACATTCCGCTGTTAACGGTTTGATTATATATTAATTATACGGCACTCATATATTATTAATGGATAGATGAAAGTTTAGGACGGTCAATACATTTGGCCATATTAATTAATTATAATTGTGTCATCTTGTAGTGGGATGCACTGAAACAATTTCACGCGTCGCATTATCATCCCAGTAACTCTGTGTAAGTTTTTATTTTGTTACTGCTATGCAAGCAATTTAAAATATTTGTCTTGAAAGTATTGTAATGATAAGTTGATAATGTTATACCACTTAAGGTTCTATACATATGGCGATATTCCACTTGAAAATCATTTAAAGATCATCAATGACGAAGCTCTTAGTAAATTTGACGCAATAGAAACAAACACTGAAGTCCCTTTTCAAACTCGGTGGCTGGAACCGGTTAATTATATTTTCTTGATAATTGCTAGTTATCATTCGCTTTTGGACATTATTAATACACTGTTAATGCAATGCATTCTTAACTTATAGCGAACAAAAAAGGTTAGCTGTAAACCGGAACCGTTAGCACCGAATCCAGCCAAGCAAACAACCGTTAGCGTCAGCTACTTATTAAAACAGTAATTACATATATTTTATTAATCAACATCAATGAAAAGCACACTTAAAGTTTCTATAAGATGTACATTAGATGCGATTTCATATTGTAAGTTAGTGATGTGCCGCCTTTCTAAATAATTATATTAGAAGTAATCTATTCTATAGCTTGACTTTATTGCTTTCAAACAAATTTCAATTACAGGAATACAGAAGCTTACGATAATTTAGTCTGGAATATTTTGTCATACTTAATGCTTAATGGCCCTCAAGCACCTTTTTACAAGGCTTTAATTGAAAGTAATATTGGTCTAAATTATTCACCTAGCGTTGGGTAAACATTTTTATTCCTAAGATTGGATTAGATCTATATTTATACTTATACGTTTAAGATAGATTTCGACTTTTGTAGCTTTGATGCAGGAATTAAAGAAACAGTATTTTCTGTTGGCTTACGTGGCATATCTGAAGATGATATTGATAAAGTTATTTCCAAAATTGATGAAACAATAGATCGCGTTATTGAGTATGATCGATGTTATTGGATATGATTTTATGCAAAAGCAAACAATAGGCTTACAAAAATAGTAACAATTATGATGTGCCTCTTTTGCTATTCATTTAGAGATGGATTTGATCAAGATAGAATTGATGCTGTCCTACATCTAATTGAATTAAGCTTGAAACATCAAACGACTCAGTTTGGTTTAGGCTTAGCTGCTAACTTAATGCCAACATGTGTGCATGACGGAGATCCAGTACCTACCCTACAAGTTAATAGGATGGTTGATAAATTTATGGTATGGTACATTAAAAAGAATTATCGCTGGGATTTTTTTCGCTTAAAATTAAGATTTTTATAACAAAATTATAGAGTGAACTGAATGGTGGTCAGTTACTGCAAGATATTGTCAAAACTCAATTGAAAGATAATAAACATCGTTTGGTCTTGGTTATGAATCCTTCGGCACGTCAATTTAATATTTTGTGTCACTATATGACCTATAGTTAGCGGGTTTGCTAAATTTGTAAACATTTCTGAATCCTTGTTGCGTAGGATGACTATGAAAAGGATTTACAAGCAGGTGAAGACAATCTGCTGAAGGAGAAGACTGTTTCACTATCAGAAGATGAAAAGAAATTGATTTACGAACAGGGTACGAATAGAAATACAAAATTTTTAAGACTACTACAAATTATAGCGATTTTAAGCGGTCCAATGCTCATTTTGTTCCGTATATGAAGATTGCGGTTGTGAAAAGTAATAATTCTGCCTTAAATTATTATACAACTTTGTTTTAGGCCTATCTTTGCTCGAGCGACAAAATGAGGAAGAGGATTTGTCATGTTTACCAACTTTATCAATATCTGGTTGGTTAAATAGTTCTCCACGTGCCAAGTTAATCTTTCTAATTACGCTTGACTTGTTAATTTACCTAATAGTCTTTGTGTTGTCCTAGATATTAACGAAAAGGCCTCTACAACGGAGGTAGAAAACATTATTAAAGGTTGGTAAAATTAATAACATTTGAGATTATCGATACGAAATCAGTATATAGTCGCTACATAGTCGATATTACAGCTCTAGATTCTATTCCATCTATTAAAATAAGTAGTAAATATCTATCAATGCTATATCACCTTACTTCGATCATGTCTATCATATCAATTTATTGTTCGAAGGAATAAAAATTATGATTTTTATTTAAGGCATTATTAAGTCACGAAACTGTTTCAAGTTATGTAAACGAGGTAAAATGTAATGGAAGATTCCTTTTTTAACTTGATTACCTTAGGAGGAACTTTCGTTCAATTTTCGAATCAACCCACCAACGGAATGACGTATTTGACAATGTTCTGCAGTACTGCTAATCTGCCGGATAATCTAAAACCATATCTACCATTGTTTTGCGATGTTCTCACAAAGTATAATGAATAAATTGAAAAATTTATGTGTAATGCTTCATCAAATCCTTATTTTCTATTTCCAGTTTCTAATTTATGCAATTTGCATTGCAGAGTCGGTGCTGGAAACAGAGACTACCGGGAAATTTCTCGTGATATCGAACGTTACAGCGGTGGTTTCTTTGCTGGTCCTACTGTATTTTGCCACCACAGTCATGGTAACAAATTTGAACAGGTATGCTATACGATAATAACTATTATTTAAGCTTATCTAAATTATTAGTATGAGGCTGTTCTAAAGTTTGAATGTTATTTTTTTTTGCATCGACAGGGGGTAATGATGAATTCGTATTGTTTAAATAAAAATTTGATGAACATGCTGTCTATTTGGGAAGATATATTTACGGAGTAATTATTGTCTATTGCAGATAATGAAATTATCATGTATACGATACTTATTTTTACAAATTAGATATAGTGTGCTAATTGCTAAGGAATAAATAAGAATGTATTGCTGTGCGAGATGTTTAACGGTCTAAAATTTTTGCAGACCGGGACTGGATGATCGTGACCGGTTACGTACTCTGGTTCAAGTTTTATCGTCTAACTTGTCGGCTGGTGTGGTCCAATCTGGACATGCATTTGCGATGACGTCTGCCGCTAGTCACTTATCTGCTGCTTCACAACTTAAAGAGCAATTAACGGGCTTGTCTCAAGTAAATTTATTGATTTGCTAAATAGCTGGTCAAATAGTAATATTTCATGTGCATTTATGTCCGTCATCTGCAGGTTAACCATATTAAAAATATCGCTGCCAAGGACGATATGGACAGCTTAGCTAACGTTTTGACAAATATTGCGGCTCATGTATTATCAAATTCTGAAATGAGGTTTTACCCATATTTATTTTGATTGGTTCATAATTTCTGACGTCCTCTTATATAATGTTGTAATTACATTCCATTAGATGTGCTGTAAACGTTAACCCAGATGACAGGCCTGCTACTGAGGAAGTGCTAGAAGGATTTTTATCTACCTTACCATTGAATAGCTCAGATGTAGATACCCATACTGAGGTTTTTCGCAGAATATATAATCTTTACTTTCCCTTACCTATTTTATGAACACGTATTTAAAAGAACGTTATCATTTTGTGTGATAATAATCCATATTTAATACTGATTTTATTCTAGAAGAGACGTTTCGTTAAAATTGAGTCGCTTTTATAACTTGTAGGTCGATGAATTTCTTCCTCAGCAAATCAAAACACATCATGAGTTTCCATTCCCGGTAAATTATGCTGCGATGTGTTTTCCAACTGTTCCATACACAAATCCTGATGAACCTAAGTAAGCCATTGTCTATTAGTGTTTTTGCGGCTACAAACTGTGTTAGCATACATATGCAATTGACGTTAGTTTATTTTACGCACGTACGAACAATGAAGATAAGATTATTAACGATTGGATTTTCTTAGAAAGTCTTTCAATTTTCATGTTAACCATTGTCAACTCTGTAGGTTGAGGATATTGGCTAGATTATTAACGAATAAATATCTTCACAAGGAAATTAGGTACATGGTATTGCCTTACAGCTAGCTTGAATTTTGCTATAAATGATATAAGTGATGGTAAGATTCTTATTTACTGACTAGTCGTATTTTTGTTTGTTAGAGAAAAGGGTGGAGCTTACGGTGGCGGTGCTCGACATAAGGATCAAGTTTTTTCCTTTTACTCATATAGGTTTGTCTTATGTTTGTATTGAAGCTCAAGTACTGTATGCTGGCAATTTACAAATCTAGTGCGCTTTTTCAATATTTG